TAGAAAACAATAAGCGGATATAACTTTTTCTTTATTCTTCCTATTTCATATCTAAAAAATAAGAATTTAATGAAATATTATCACAAATATTGGGGTGTATGGATTGTATCATCAGTGGTAGTAACTTTGCAGTGAAGCGGTCTACCCTGTTTTACTCAAATGAATCAGAGTGTGGAACTGTACTGGTCCATGGCCTAAACCCAATACATATGGCTCCAAGAAGTCACATGGGCACTGAGACAGCCACACTTTGGTAAATAATATCGCCCTGTCAACTAAACTGTGTGAGAGTAGTTGGAAAAGTTTCCTGACTTGGCCAGTGAAAGGGAATACCTCTCCCCAGTCCACCTGTTCCTGTACCAAGTGGCCATTGCTCAGTTGCCTCAGAGGTCAACAGTTTTACCAGTGGTCAGATGAACTTTTGAGAGGAGGAACAGGGTAACTTCAACATACCTGGTGGAAAAGGAACTGGCAAGACATAGCACTATTTCTGCCTTGAATGTCAACATGAACAACAATTACAAGAGATATAGGGGAAGTGGTGACCATATCTACACAAAATGCACTGAATGAATGAATGCATGTTATCACAAAGATGAAGATGTTTGAAATGCAAAGAAAGAACTCCATTTAAATTCCACTGTGTCATTCATTGATTCTCAAATGGTGCAGCACACCTCATATGTGTGGCGGAAGAGGCTAAGAGAGGAGACAGAATGATTGAAAGACAAAGATTTAGAAACAGTTTAAAAAAATTCATATGCCAAAAATAAATATGATTTCAAAATTTCAAATATTATTATGGATTACTTGTAATTGCATGCACGAGTCCCAGTATAAATAGTTATAAATAATTATTGACTGATTTTATTAATGGGATATTTTTGCATTATATCAAGTATTAAGAATATTGTAACTAGGGTCCACAAATTGGAGGAGAGAGTTATCTATGATAATGTTCTGACTTTGAATCTGCAGTTATCTCCCATTAATCCACTCTCTGGAACTTCTTTGCTGTAGGGCTGCTTGTGCCTTTTCACTGGGATGTCTCTTTGGTTAGGCACCAACAAATTTTCATTCCAAAAATGCAGCCCAGAGGAAAAAAAAAGTTTCAGAAGCATTGGTGTAGTTATCAAAAGTCAATATCACTATCAGCAATTGCATTTTGTTTTCCTTTGAGGCTTTTTTGTTTTGGTGGGGGGGGGCCTAATCTATGTACATTTGGGTAGATTTTTGTTAAAAATGAATTGATTCACTTGATATCATAAAATGACAACTTTCAGGAAATTATGATAAATCATGCAAGACCAGAAGAAGAATATTGGATTTTTAGATAGTTTAAGACTCGAGATTATTTTATTTATGGAAATGGTTACATTCAAGTTATCTTGTAGGGTCTCTGTTTTTCTTAAGAATCCTTGCTAAAAGCTTTTAAAGTCATCTGGATGAAACAGAAAAATAAGTGAAATCTTATAAGATTTCGAACAAGTTAAGAATTCCTTGAAGAGAGATTATGGAAGCTGAAGATCTGTCTTGCTTAAAATTTTGTCTTCTTTATCGAAAGGAATTGCATAAAAGCAGCAAGTGTATACAAAGAGATGCCTTATGTGTTCACTTGCACATACACATAGAACAGAATATTCTTCTTCAAATGAATAAGACAAAAGTATACAAAACCCACTTGTGCACTCCTACTTGTAATTAAAGCAGGATATTTTTCAAATTATGTGTAGGCAAAATTCCATGGTGGATCATTCAACAAAGTGATTGATATAGTTTAATAAGAGGTAAGTAAATGTTTACCTTTGAAATGTCATAATGAAAAAGCAAAATGAGAGAATTGCTCTGAACAAAGCATTTCAATAAACTGACTTTTTCTCTTTTACATTTAATTTTTGTAAAAAAAAAAAACAAAAAAAACGGAGATTAGTAAATATAATAAAAAAAATATAAAATAACCTTCACAGCTGCATTCCAAGAGCTAAGAAAGTATGAAGAAACAGGAAAATTTCATTAGAAACAAAGAAATGCGTTACTGAGATGTTACATAATATTAGTCCTCCTATATGCAGTGAATGCTGCACAATCTCATCACAGATGAAGAGACTTGAAGCAACAGAAATGTGGTTCTACAGAAAGATCATGAGAATACCATGAACCAATGATGTGAGCAACAACAATGTTTTACAAAAAAATGTAAATGTAAAAGCACACTTATACTTAACATCAGGAAGATTGTATTTCTAGAGTACATAATGAGGAAAGAGGGCTTGGAAATTTCAAAACTCACAGATTGAAGGCAAGAGGGACAGAGGAAAACAATGCATAATCTACGTAGCAAGATTGAGTAAATAAATGGTAGAACATGATTGCAGTACTGTTGCCATATCTGGGCTAGAGCTGCTCAGTTCTCAATTTTTAGACTTGATAGAGTTTAAAAGTATCTTCACGGCCTTGTGGGTGATAAATAATTTGTCACACCACAAATACTGTCCCAGAGACAAAATATTGTAAGCATCTCACTAATCTATTGCTATTTCCAAGCATTCAGACAGGCTGCATTTCTTAATTCCATCAACCATGACCATCACAACTAAGACCCACTATGCTATTATGTGGATACAATAGGCGATTATCTCCTTTTGTTTTAAGTCACATGGGCTATATGTTGACTGCTTAGGGACGTCATCTCATTGTGTGACAAAAGTGGCCAATCCATCAGTCAGTTTCCATGAGTCAAAATGAGAAGTTGCTTTTTTTTAGCAAGGCCTTAGCAAGACTGAGGCTAAACCTGCCATATGCTGCTGCTTACAATCCCATGGTGCTGTTTTCCTTTAGAAATATATGTTCACCATATATAGAAAGTATGTCTGGCTCAAAGTTCTCATATTGGGAAAAACCCATGACTCACCATTTCCTGTTTGAGAGGAATATATCCTCGCTAGTCATATATAAGATAAATCCAGCCTGCTCAAATCTGAAATCCCAAATATGGCTTCTTCAGAAATGTAGAAAAATTTCCAACAGCTCAAATTGCTAATTATTACAAGTAAGACTCTCTCTTTACATCTCCTTTTCACACTGCTTGTTATTGCATTCATGTGTTGTAGTTTCTCTGCACAGGACGTATAAATATATGTATATAATTTTGTGGTATGACACTCTCTCTGAGAACAAAGTATGTTTATTATTCCTTTTCTTTCCATGTCTTAAGATGTTGTTATATTATGGATATGATAATGCTCATAATAGTGGGAAATATGAACTGAGAATATTTTTTCCTTTTAGAGCTCATTCATTATCTGGTGCACCCAATATAATGTTATTAATACTTTAATTAATCATCTCCATTTCCTTTGTATTCTGCTTGTAAGAAGGAAGTTCCATTTGGACAGTTTCTTTCCAAGGATTGCTGACATGTGGAAAAAACTCTCAAGAGAATGCTTCTAAATCACTACATCCTTAACCTCTCTAAGTATAGGGTTAACCGTTGTCTTTCCTACATATCCCCATAAACTGCACTTCTTACCTCCTCCCTGCTCCTTTTATGTTAATATAACAACCCCTTTTAGTAACCATTACCTTGAGTGGCTCTTAACCTCTTCAAGCCTAGAGTTAACATTCGTCTTTCCTAAATATCCTCCTCCTGTTATGTTAATATAACAATCCCATTATGTAATGCTCTACCTTGAGTGACTTAACCTCTTCAAGTCTAGGATTAACTGTCGTCTTTCCTACATATCATCTTAAACTGCACTTCTTACATCCTCTTGTTAGATCCAGCTTCCTTAGTTAATAAGCCTCTACCTTCAGTGGCTCGTGGTCCTTGTACTGGGTGAACAATTAATAAAGTTTAAAACAGCTCCCCAACCTTTCTGCCATACTGTGCCTGTTTATTTATTCTTATTAGACGAAGTATTATTAAACATTGTAATCATTTATATGAGTTTACTACCTGTAGAATAACAATACAATAAACAGAACTTACCAGTGTAAGGGTCCCAGCTAGCATCCAGCTGGCAGACAAAAATAAAGCAGGTTGTAACTCAATACAAACCCTGCAAACTAACATGATTCAAGCTGGTATTTATACAGAAATACCTCCACTCATGTACCAGCAGCCAATCACAGCCCAAGCAATGGACTATCCCACTTTAGCACAATGAGATGCACCATGGCACCATAACTAGCTCTCTTTCTCAAGGTTGAGTTATTATTCACTCAGTTGTGGAGCAAGCTGAGTGTTTATCTTGACTGTGTGATTGTTCTACACTACCATTGTTTATTCACTGTCATTGATTGACATCTTGAATAGAGTTGTGTTAAAAAACAACTCAAAAATTAAAATGTAATAAAATATGAGATAAATATAAATGATAATAATAGTCAGCAATAATTCAGCTAACAAAAGACTAAAGATAATATTTCTCTTATAAAATAATTCAAAAATTAATATTCCATATTAATACAAATCTCAGTCAATTAAACCGAGAGCAACCAAAGAATTTATAGTTACTAACCAAATATTAATACAGAGAAATCTACTTGCCTGATCTTCTGATCAGTTGACTCAGTTTTCAATATTCAAATCATTGGAATACACATTGGAATGTGTGTATATAAGACAAAGTAATTCTTTTAAAGTGAAAATAAATGGAATTTTAAGGCAATCTAAAATAAAGTTCATTTTCATCCATCATCTTACTTGACATGTTTTGTAAACAACCTATTCAGCTATTGTCTTCTCTTGTATTTCGCAAACTAAACTACCTCTTGCTCAGTTGACATTGACTTTTAATCAATTGACCTAACCGACCTTTAAAATAAAGTTCTTCACATAAAAATGTGAAAAAAAATAAAGGGAAATATTTACTATTGTATTTCTTAAAAATAAATTTTCCATATCAATCTCCAAATGAATTTCATTTGATATCGATCAAATCACAAGAAACATGCCATTTTACCTTCATTAGCAGAAACCTCCAAATCATGATAGGTTTACAGTCATAACATGTTGAAACACTGGTTCTCATCTGATCTCAAAAGTTAAGCAATGTTGAGGCTGGTCAGTACCTAGATGGTAGATAGTTTGGGAATACCAGTTGCTCTAAGCTTGCATGTGTGGGTGGTGTAATGGATGAGAAATTGGAGAGCTGAGTTCAATTTTTTGTTTGTTACATTTGCTCATGTGCAAATACTCTTTAGAAAGGTATGAATCCACCACTACTCCCCAGTTATGGGTTAATTAGTATGACTTGTATCGATAAATATTATCTGCCAAAAATTCTTAGAATCAAAAAATATTTTTCTGGCTTTCTGAAAAATTTTGATAAGCCATAAGAACCAAATCAATCAATTAATCTTGGAAAAGGTAAGATTTCACCTCTTATTCCTCAATCTATGGGTTAAATAGTAGGACTTATATTTGGAAAAACTATTGTTATATACAAAAATTATTAATACAATATTCACTTGCATACAAAAAAAAGAAAAGAATTATTCTCACAATCCCAAATTTGGCTTTAAATAACCTAGAAAAGGTTGATAAGTCATAAAAAACAAATCATTATATCACTCTTTAGATTTTAAAAATTACAGAAGGACATTGTTATAATTATTGCATTTGTTCAAGGAAATTCTTAGCATTTGCTCTGCAAATTGCAAATGTAATGAGAAAGTTCTGTTGAAATAGTGGAACCAAAGAATGGAGTTCATCTGAACATTTGCCATGGAAATAGCAGTAAAGTAGCAAAAGGCTTGCAATGTAATATCGGTGATGAAAGAGGCTGCAGAATGGAATGAAAATCCCTCCCTCCACACACACATACACAGACAAAACCACATAAATGGGTTTGAAATTTATCAAAGCTGGAAAGTGAAGATTAAGCAGTTCCAGCCCAGATGTAGCTGAAATATTCCATTTTAGGTCTAATCCGACTCTTGTAAAGATAAAACATGGCAGAAGTATTCAGATACTTTGTTGAGTGATAAAATGAGCAAACCATTGACAATTTGTATTGGGAAAAAAATCACTTGCATGCTGACAGAATGAACAAAATTCATACAGACAAATAGAAAGATGAGTGTGACAAGGACATTTTCATGTTTGTTTTAGAGAATCAACAAGATTTATTATCTGTCATAACCTTAACAACACATGCAAGTGGCACTTTGTTTATGCCTGACTGAGAAGGTAGTTGCAGAGAAAATGAAATCAATGAACCAAGTTCAAATTGTGACCTTGTCTGCTGTGTTTACATTTGCACCGAACAATCTTGAGACTGGCATGAGTCCTAAATAACAGGGTAGACTAATCTCTTGAGCTTTAGGTGGAAGGAGGTTAAAGAGGACATCTCTAAATTCAAAACCATGAAGAAGGCAACAGGAAATTCCTTCATTATCTTTTCTGTAGTGAACGAGATTATCAAGTACCCCAGAACCAAACTCTGGTTTCCCGCAGGGTACTTGATTATCTCGTTCACTACATTTTCCCAAAAAGTCATAGCAATTCATGCATATTAAAGAAACCGAAGCTGTGGGGAGTTGTGATTGCCTACATCCACAAGAGATATTACATCTAAAAGAAATTAGACAAGATAGTTAAGAAAATGCAACAAAAAATATAACTATTAATTGTAAGAATCCATGTTGTGTATCTAGATGTTGACAATGTGGATGTATGAAAAGTGAAATCAATGAACCAAGTTCAAAATCCAGTCTTGTCTGTTGTGTTAACTTTTGTACAAAAACGCATGAGTTTATCTCTTTTCCTTGAAGGTTCAAGTTAAATAACAATGTAGACTGGACTTTCAAGCCTTAGGTGGGAGGAAGTCAAAGAGGACAAGTCTGAATTCCAAACCATGGAGAAGGCAACAGGAAACTACATAGCAATTCATACATAAATAAAAGAAAGAAAAGAAAAGGAGACAGCTACTTTCAAAAGTGGTAAAATGAGATGACCATTTTTCTAGCATCTTAAGCAAAAAGATCAAATATATAATAAGTTCCATGTGAGTGAACTTGAGATTCAGTAGATGTTCAAAGCCTTGCTGAGACTGAAACTGTTCATTGTCTGATCCGTAATGATGAAATGATAGTGTGATTTTTGAGAGACTGAAAGCAACAAGCCAGTCCACCCAACACCTAAGCTTCAAATACCTGAATCAGTTCTAGCATTGATGGGAGATTCCTTCCTAGTTTTCTGCTTAAAGTAGTAGGGAATGTCTACATCTTGATTATTTTCCTTTCTAATTACATATGATACTCACTTTTATTGTTGTTGCTTTTGGAAGTTTTCAAGTGATGTGGTTTTTCTTATTTGGTAAAGTTCTTTGTAATATTGTGGCACCAGTCGACAGACTGATGATAGATTGTCTTCTTTAAGATCAACAGTGTTGATTCCCTTGAAGTAATTTTTAATCCCTGATGTGAGAAAATGGTTTGATAATGAAACTGTTTAATTTATAGCTTAAGTTCCCAAATCCATTCAAAAATACCTAAAGTGTCAGCTGTATACACCACTTTCTAAGATCAATGGATAAAAATGGCTTTGAACAAAAAAAAGCCTGAGGATCTCTGCAGAAACCATTGTTTTTTGAACATTGTGAATCTGTGCTATAGAAATACAAACCAAGAACTGTACCAGATAACAGAAAGCACATCACGAGAATAGTTCGGATCGGGTGAAGCTCGTGTAGTCGCCCATATTTCTCTTGCTGTACGCTTCTGACACCAGTGTTATAGACACAAGAAAGGAATACGACAACAGCAGAAATAGATTTACGTGATTTATTTCAATAGGAATGTGTGGTTTTGGGACAGCTACCTTGTGATATAGTTCATAGGCCAGCTGAAGATCTGGGTTGATCTCTCATAGTAGTTCTCGCTGGTTGGCGTCTTGCTACTGCTGCTGACTGCACAGCCTGACCGTGACAGATCTCTTCCCTGGCCTCCTGTTGACTGCTGTTGTACTTCCGTGTGACCCCTTTTATGGCGTTTTTTTATGGCTTGACAGGCTTGTAAAATTATTAGGAGGAAAGCATTTTTATTGGTCGAAAAATAGAAACACTTTAAAATATTATCTTATTTTTCGACCGGAACTCGTGCATCGAGAATATGAGTAAATGCGTAAATATGGTCATTTTGTGACTGGGCCTTGTTCCGTTCACATCCGGCTCTGGCTCTTGAGTATGTTAGTTTATTTGCCTGCAAATCAGCCGAGATATGTCTTATTTTATTTTATAACAGATATAAAATGTAACTTGAAGAGAAAATGATGACATAATCAAGATGTCAACATTCCACACTATTTTAAATAAAATGGTTAGCAAGAAAACTTCCATATCAATAGTGGAAAGAGTTGAGAACACTGTTTTCTTGAAAAGTGGTTTTAAGACAAGATTTTATAGATTTCAACTGAAAGTAGTACTGGCTGCTTATTCAATGAATGCCAAATATTTCCTTGTTAAGGAAAGGGTTAATATTACTAATATCATTACTGAAAGAAGAGGATTATTATATGGTAATGTAAATGGCTGGGCGAGGTTAGAGATTAAAAACTGTAGCTTCACAATACAAACATTTGTTTCCTATTGGCATTGGCTAGGAATTAATGCAATGATTAAAATAAAATGTTGGTTAAGAAGGAAACCCCCCATCAACACTGGAAAGAGCAATAATAGTTACTGGACTTGAGAAAACAGTTTTCTTAGAAAACTGTTTTTAGACAAAGATTTTATAAATTTCAACTGAAAGCAGTACTGGCTGCTCGCCAAATGATTGTCAAATGTTTCCTTATAACAAAACAGCTAATACTAGCATTACCATTATATCTCCAATGGTTGCTATGTTGCCATCTCTATTTCCTGAAAGATTTTACTAGCATCAGATGGTAAATTTTCTGATTTTCTGAGTTTGCCATCTTACAAAAATAGGAATGGTCTATAATTTTCAGAGTAGGTCTATTTTGAAAGTGAGAGATAGAATATAAAAAAAAATTCTAGAAAATTACATTACATTAATTTTTGAATATTCATTTCTTTTTTATTAAAAAAATAAATATTTCACCCCCTATCAACCAGCAATGATTCAGGCCCCACAGACCAGTTATGTGACCAGGAGGCATATAGACTAGTCCTATTACTCAATTATTACTCCTAATCAAGTACTCATTACTTGTATAAAAGACACTAGTTCAAAGAATCCTTCAATGAATCAGAATCTAATCTCTCCACAATGGACAAGATGAAAGAATTGTCTAAGGACATCCGGGACAAAATTGTATACCGGAACAAGACTGGAATATGCTACAAGATGATTGCCAAGCAGCTAGGTGAGAAGGAGTCAATTGTCGGTGGGAAAATAAGAAAATGGAAGAAATACCAATTGACTATCAATCTCCCTTGATCTGGAGCTCCACGCAAGATCTCCCAACATGGAGTAAACCTGAGGAGAAGAAACATGAGGAAACAACTCAGAACTATGTGGCAAGAGTTTGTTGATGATCTCAAGGCAGCTGGGACAACAGTCACCAAGATGACCATTAGTAACACACTATGTCATGGTGGACTGAAATCATGTAGTGCCCACAAGGTTCCCCTACTGAAGAAGGCACATGTACATGCACATCAGAAGTTTGCAAATGAGCACCTGGATGATTCAAAGGAAGTTTGGGAAAAAGTGCTGTGGTCAGATGAGACTAAAGTTGAGCTTTTTTTGCATCAACTTGACTCACTGTATTTGGAGAAAAAAAAGAAGCTGACTTTGACCCCCAAGAACACCATCCCAACTATTAAGCATGGTGGTGGAAACATTATACTTTGGAGCTGTTTCTCTGCTAAGGTGACAGGACGACTACACTGGGTCGAGGGAAATATGGATGGGGCCAAGTACAGAGAAATCTTGAGTGAAAACCTCCATGCCTCAGCTAGGACACTGAAGATGTGTTGTGGATAGGTGTTCCAGCATGACAATGATCCAAAGCATATGGATGTTGGATTTAACGGCATGTCAACTCCTATTTGGGTCATTTTATGCTGAAGCCTTATTTATTTATGAATTTAAGATGGTTATATTGTATAAAAGGTTGGGAGGCTGTTGGGTTTCATA